TTTGAACCTTACTCAAAGATCATGTCTTGTGACATTATCCAAAACTCACCAGGTGCTCATTTCAGCAGCACATGTACAAAGAGTGGAACCACGCAGAGAAGATTAACATGGCCCCTGCGAAGGATGACGTGCAAATTTGTAAAGTGTTCCATATTTTTCCCTAACTACTAGGGAATCTGGAAACCCAGGAAAATACCAAATTGAGGTTTCTTTGAAGATCTGTACCCTTTTGGGATGACTCCAGTTTGTGCTATTGGTTTGGAGCTGGGGTCCATGACTTCTGACATTTTTTTGACCACTTCATCATTAGTAGAGAGTGAACAGTCATTGATGATTGGACCGATGATGGTTGGGGCCTAAAGAAAGCTGCTGATGGAGCTGCTGAGCTCGGCATCCTGGGGCAGATGCTTGAGGCAGCTGAAGAGCACACATGGCTCTGGGTGGTCTACCTGTTGACTGTGGCTTTGCCTGTGTTCCTTGTAATCCTCTTCTGCTGGCCTATAAAGAAGCAGTCCAGTGCTATGGAGCACAAGATGATGGATGCTCCCCAGCCAGATGTGAAGAAGGAGGAGAAGGGAGAGGAGGAAGAGGAGGGGATGAGTGAAAGCCTGAGGAAAAACAGAAAAGTGATGCTGGAGAAGACAGTGTCACTGTTAGTCAGGAGGAGGAAGGCAGGAGCGCTAAAGCAGAGGAGGATGAAATTTTGAACAGATCACCAAGAAACAGAAAGCCACAAAGAAAGTGAAACAATCTTAAGAACTTGATCTGTGATTTTCTTCTCCCTCCCCTCCCAGGTCCTAGGAGAGGACCTGGCCTCCCTTAGGTTGACACTCAGAAATTTCTGACGTCACCACCAACAGGTTCCAGCTGAATACTAGTCTGTGTAACTTAAACATCTAGCAGTAAACAATCACAATTGTGACAAAGGAAGGACCCTGTTTCTGAAGAAGACAAAACACTTAAAATAATGGTTGTGAAATGTAACATGAAGCTAACATGTATTTTTTGTTTTGTTATGTTTTGAGACACCTTTTTAAAATAAAATCATAAAACCTTGACAGTTTAAAATTCTGGTTTAATTTAATATATTAATCTGTGCAGAAATAGCACCAACATTTAGAAATACTAGGAGAATGAATTTGTTTTTATAACAATTTTTTTAAGTTTGTTATAAAACACTCAAGTGTCTCTGTCCCTTCAAATTGGTAATCATGTTTAAAGTGCAGTCATTCGTGGTTATAATGTTATTTTTCTTGCTTCCATTATTCAACTCCTAAGGAAATTGAGGAGGGATTCAGAAGCCCAAATTTATATAAAAGTTCTGTTTAAGTTGTATTCAAATTAGACATAGAAAAATACACCTTTTCACTTGATGTTGATTAGACCATAAAGTGTGCGTGTTCTGTAGCCCTTGGAACTGCTCAGTATCCAGACAGCTTCGCATTTAGTGCAGGACGTGGCCTAATGCAGCACTTGGGCATTCATACTTCCTCGCACAGGGAGGCTCTGGGCTCGGCCTTGGGAGCAGGCGGCTTTTTGAAGATTGCTGACAGGGTACATGAGCTCCAGAGTAGATGGCTCATCGCTTGTCCATTATGTTGACACTGTTTTCCTTACCTGTTTCCCTGGTTCCCAGCTTTCTCCTCTGCTATGCGTTGTCTTCACAGTGCAGCTTGCAGACTTGCTGCTGAAAAATGAGTGTACAGCCTGCATAGTGTTAAGCTTTATTGTGATTCCATATTATTTCTTTTCTTTGTTTTCTAAACAGACCCATACTTTTCCAGGGTCAAAGTACAGGTTAGAATATAAACTTTGATATTTCTTTCTCTCCATTTCTTTAATTCTGTAAAGACTTTAGAAGTCTAATCCAGAGGTGTGCCTATTCTGAATTGACACAGGCTATAAATATTTATGGCAGGAGGTACATACAGGGTGAGTTATCTGATTTTTGTAGAATATTTTAAGTCTTTATTTGCTGTTCATGTAATAGTTGTGTCTTAAATTTACACAATAAAGCTGTCTTGCTAAATTAAAAAAACAAAACTCACTGAAATGCTTTCTTAAGCATAAAACCATGTACAGCTGCATAAATTATGCCATTTTTTGGAGGGGAGCCAGGGATCTACAGCCAGTGGATTTTGTTATGAATTATGGTATAGTAGGAATTATGGCATTTGATCAATAGGCATGAACT